ACCTGAGAACGCCTCGGCTTGCCGGGCGGGCCGTGCGTGGGGAGGGTCCAGGATGAGGCGACAATTTTCCGGCCCCCCAGCCCCGCCCCACTTCCGGGGATACAACTTTCACTTTCTCTTCCGCAGAAGCTGCTCCCTCCCCTTTCCGAATGTCAGGGGCTTCTGGAGTGGGGAGGAGAAGTTGGGCAAAAATCCCAACGCTAGGCACACTTCCGATCGGGCAGTTCTCTGTCCTCCTCTCCTGCCGCTCGGCCTGTCTCGTTTCCTCCTTGGCCCACTGCGGGTTGGGCTCGTGCCCCTGTCCTTTCGCTGTCCCACGCGGGCCCGGGCTCGTTTCCTGTGCCAGGCCTGGTCCCTGTTCCCCTGGTGGTGTGGGTGGTGTGATGCTGCCCGACTGCCGCTGGGGACACCGAGACTCTGAGAGCGCCTGGGTCGCACGGGGGGCCTCTGGGTCGGGACTGAGTTGCTCGCGGTCGCCTGCCCCCTTCCAGGTGATCCGGAGGTAGCATTTCCCCGGAGCCGTAACCCACCCCCTTCGGGGGGATGGGCGCAGCCAGGCCAGATGGACGAGAAGACCAAGAAAGGTGGGCACAGACTGGAGGTGGTTGGGAACTTCGGGTGGAAGCGGGTGTGGCAGGACTCAGCTTGCCTGCCCAGAATGGCCTGGGAAAGGGGCTTTAGCCTGCCCTCCTGCCCACCTGTCCGTCCCTCTGTTCCCTCCATTGGAGCCTGTTGTCTTCCACAGGCTTCTTGGGGCCTGAGGCCTTCTTAGGCCAGCCATGGACTGAGATGTGGTGGGGACCTCCTGAGGTCACAGGGCATTGAACTGGGAGACCCGGGTCTGGTGGGAAGACAGCGCTTCACCTGAGTCTTGGGGTCCCTGCCTCTCCTGCCTTTTGTGCCCAGCATTGTGGAACATGGTAGATTCACTGCCCTGTTGGAAACCATCCTTTGTCTGCTGGGTTCCTAGCACAGAAGCCCAGTGCCCCTGGGCCTCTCACATGCCCTGGGTGCCCTCCCAGTATCCCGGCATCACTGCCTCACTCACTGTGTGGGACCCCGCTGGCTTCCTTTTGTTCTAACCCAACCATTTCTGGTCTAAGGCCTTTGTGGCCACTCTTCTGTAACCAGAACTCTACCCGCCTGGTCTTCCCCAGTCCAGCTACCTCTTGAGGTTTCAGGTTCATTGCTACCTCCTGCCATGGGCTTTTCTTGATCTCCGGACCCTGTTCATTTCCATGCCAGCAAGGGTCACAGTCTGACTTCTTCCTTCTCTCCTTAAACTTAGCATCTCCCCACTGGGCTGAGAGATCTCTAAGGAGGGCAACTTTGTTTATCTAAAAGCACTGTTTGATCTCCATTCCTGGGAGAAACTGGCACACAGTAGGAGCTCAATAAACCCTTGTCAGATAAATGAATGGTAATATAGGGAACTTTAGAGTCTGAAGGGAAAATGGATTCAAATGAGCCTAGGTCGAGGGAGAATAGGGAGTATCAGAGAATGCCTCCTAGAGAGTGGGACTTTTACGCAGGGGTACTGAAGGATGTATAGAAGTCCACCAGGAAGACAGAAAGCACAAAGGATCACCTCTTTTCCCATTGTATTTCCTGTTTCTGAAAAACAAATCTTATGCTAACCTGCTCTCTCTCTGACGGCTTTCAGTAGAGGAAATGGCCCTGAGCCTCACTCGCGCAGTGGCGGGCGGGGATGAACAGGTGGCTAGGCGGTGTGCCATCTGGCTGGCAGAGCAACGGGTACCCCTGAGTATACAACTGAAGCCTGAGGTGTCCCCAACACAGGATGTCAGGTGAGTATATTGTTGGTCAGGGACATAGGCTTCCTGAACCCTAGTGGGCAGCGGTATGCTCTTGCCCGAAGAATAGGTTTGTATTTTGTTTTGTTTTAATTTGTTATAGGGTACATGCATGTGCCAGAGAGAGGTGGGTTGAGGGGTAAAAGTGAGAAAGCACTCCCGGGGGGGTAGGGGATGGCCATACTGCAGTCTGTTTTCTTCTGTTCTCCTCTCAGGGTTTTGGATATGCACACGCGATCAGCACGTTTTTCAAACCACCAAGTCTAGGACTCAAACCTCATAGTTGGCCATTGTGGAATCCAGTCACGTTAGCCACCATGTCCCTGGCTGACCCAAAATAGTTATTGTTTTTTTTAGAGATTTTTGCCTTAGGACGTGTGTGCTCACAGGAGAGAAAGAAAGAAAAAGAGGGAAAGTGAGAAATCAACCCCCACCCGGGGGGGATGACCACACCTTCAGTCCCTTCTCCTCCACTCTCTTCCCGCGATCTTGGGCACACAGTCATACGCACCTGGTGTGTTTCAAGCCACAGAGATTCAAACCACGATTGGCTATGTGGGAGTACAACAACATAACCGCTTCTCCATCTACTATCCCCCTAAATAGTTATTCATAATGGCAGGTATACCTGACTTTAAAGCCCAGTTCTGTCACCTCAGCTATGACATATAGGGTAGGTCACTTCCCCTTTCAGGGTTTTTCTTTCTTTCCTTTCCTTTTCCTTTTTTTTTTTTTTGAGAGATTTTCACTGTAGGGCGCGTGTGCTCGCCAGACAGACAGAGACATAGAGACAGAAAGCGAGAAATCACCCCCCAGGGGGGATGGTCACGCCGCAATCCCTTCTCCTCCATTCTCCTCTTGGGATCTTGGGCACGCACACACACGTGCCCGGCGTGAGTTTTAAGCCACTGGGTCCAGGACGCAACCCGCCGTCAACTACGTGGGAATCCAGCGACATAGCCATTACGCTAACTGCTGGTTCCCTTTTTTTTTTTTTTTTTTGAGAGATAGAGTTTTGGTATTAAGGATGTGTGTGTTGTGGAGAGACAGTGAGAAATCACCTCCCTCAGGGTTTATGGACACACCACAATCCTTTCTCCTTTATCCACCAATCACTTCTTGGGCTTTTATTCACTGTATGTCCAGCATGAGTTTCAAGCTGCCAGGTCTGGGTCTTGAACCTCACTTTGCCATGTGGGAGTCTCGTACCTCAACCATTATGCCACCTCCTGGTCCAACATGCCTGGTGTACTTTTTTTTGAGAAAAAAAAGTTTGTTTTGTTTTTTTTGCCTTAGGGCACGTGTACTCGCCAGAGAGATAGAGACACACATAGTGAGAGGAAAAGTGAGAAATCATCCCCCAGGGGAGATGGCCACGCCAGAGTCCTTTCTCCTCCTGGGATCTTGGGCACACACACACGTGCCTGGTGTGATTTTCAAGCCACCGGTTCCAGTACATGAACTATTGTCAGCGATGTAACTGCTGCACTCTGCTGGCCACAACCTGATATACTTTTTTTTTTTTTTTTTAAGATTTATTTATTTTATTTTATTCATTCATTTTATTTTAATTTGACCAGAGAGAGAGAGAGAAAGTGAGAAAGCAAGCCACCAGGTCCGGGACTCAAACCATGGTCGGCCATGTGGGAGTGTCCAGCACATTAGCCACCATGCCACCTGCTGTTCCCAACCTGGTATACCTTTTAATTTTTTAAGTGTAGAACTCAAATGGTGCAGCCAGCCATGTGGGATCCAGCTACCTTAACAGCTCCACCTAAGGGTCGCCTGGCTGACCCCTAGCAGCCGTTGTTTTTTAATGTCCAAGAACACTTCCCCATTTTCCTTTTCTTTTCAATTTTTTTTTCTCTTAAGTTTATTTATTTCTTCATAAGCAGGAGAGACAGAAATTCTTTACCCCCAACAGGATCTGGACATTGCACTGCGCCCCCAGCCTCAGCCAGCCCAGTTCACGGCCGTGTGGTGGGTGTGCTCAGGGAGATCTCCAGACACAGACATGTGGTCCCCCTGTACGACTGTCTGTCTGTCGCCCTCTTCCTACCTTCTGGTTGCTTCACGCCCTTCTTGCTCTCTGGATACAATGTCTTCCCAGCCTTCTGTCAAAGACACTAGGGAGGCCATAGTGTTGTTGCTGTATTTAAATTATGTCTCTTTGGGGATCCATTCTGTTGTTTCATTTTATCCCTTCCTTTTCATGCTTGGGTCTACGTTAACCTCTTCCATAACCTTTGCTGGAGCAGAGATGTGCACCTGCAGTCTCAGTTACTCAGGAAGCCCAGGCTGGACGGTTGCAAGTTTGTGGCCAGTTTGGGCCCCATAGCAAGATCCTGTGTGAAAGCCAAAATCTTTTTTTTTTACCTTGAAGAGGTTTTTTTGCTATAGGGTGTGTGTGCTTGCCAGACAGAGAGAGACAGAGAGACAGAAAGTGAGAAATCACCCCCCCCGGGGGGTGATGGCCACCTCACAATCCCTTCTCCATTCTCCTCTCGGGATCTTGGGCACACACGCACACATGCCCGGCATGAGTTTAAACCACCGGGTCAGGGCCTCGAACTGCGGTTGACTATGTGGGAGTCCAGCAACATAGCCATTATGCTAACTGCTGGTCCCAAGCCAAAATCTTTTAGGTTAACTCTGTAGCTCCCTCATATGGCAGACCGCGTGGTTCGAATCCTGGCTCTGGCAGCCTCAAAAAACATTCCCAGTCATGTGTGTACATGCTCTAAATCTCCAAATGATGGCAAATGAAGGAGAATTTTTTAAAAAATGTTTTTAAAAATCTTTGGGGGGGGGCAGTGGATGGTGTGGTGGTTAGGACACTGGACTCCAACATCACCTACCGTGGTTTGAATCCCAGACATGGCAGCTTGCCTTTTCACTTTCCCTCTTTCTCTGGTGAGTGCCCTGTAGCAAATTAAAAACTAATAATGCTAAATAAGATAAATAATTCTTAAAAGTAATTAAAAAGTAAGTCATTCTTAAAATAAATAACTTCGAGGCTCCTTGGCAAAGCTGGTACTTAAAAACCACTTTGTCTTGGGAACCAGCAGTTAGCGTAATGGCTATGTCGCTGGACTTCCACGTAGTCGACCGTGGTTCGTGTCCTGGACCCGGTGGCTTAAAACTCACGCCGGGCACGTGTGCGTGTGTGCCCAAGATCCCAAGAGGAGAATGGAGGAGAAGGGATTGTGGCGTGACCATCCCCCCGGGGGTGATTTCTCGCTTTCTGTCACTATGTCTCTCTCTGTCTGGCGAGCGCATGCGCCCTATAGCGAAAAAAACCTCTCCAAAAAAACAAAACAAAACAAAATCCACTTTGTCTGAAATAATACTGTTTGGGTTTAAATCCATCCTCTAACAATGACTAATTGTTTACTTTAGGAGCATAACTAACATGTATAAACTTCATGTTTTTATCTGTAGAAAAGGGAAAGGGGAAACGGGTACAACGGTACCTCCTCGTTGAGAGGATTAAAGAGTTAGTGCATGTTAAGTGCCCTGAATAGCCTTGAGAAAGCATGTCGCAGCAGCCGGTGGTTTGGCTAGGGTAGAGAGCCGGGAAAGAAGTGGTTGGTGGGGTGGGGCCATCATGGAGGCCCCCGCGTGCTGCAGTGAGTTGGGTTTTGCTGTAAGAGCAGCTTCGAACCATTGGAGGGGCCTAAGCAGTGGGTTCTAATGAGGGAGGAAGCAAAGGGAATCCAGGGGAGGCCTCTTCCCGAGATGAGGATTGTGCATGTGCGTGCATATGCCTACTAATATGTACACGTCTGTAGCTGGTGGTTAAGGCTGGTCCAAGGGCCACAGCCTCTTCCCACATTCTTCTTCACAGGCTGTGGGTGAGCGTGGAGGACGCGCACATGCACACTGTCACCATCTGGCTCACAGTGCGGCCTGATATGACAGTGGCTTCCCTCAAGGACATGGTGAGTGAGGGGCTTCCTGTGTTGTTCCCACCTCTCTCTCTCTACTCTGGACCCCCCTTTCCACCTCCTCTTCGTACCCTAACAGGTATTCCTAGACTATGGCTTCCCACCAAGCCTGCAGCAGTGGGTGATTGGGCAGCGGTTGGCACGAGACCAGGAGACCCTGCATTCCCACGGGGTGCGGCGGAATGGGGACAGCGCCTACCTCTACTTGCTGTCAGCCCGCAACACGTCCCTCAACCCTCAGGAGCTGCAGCGGGAGCGGCAGCTGCGCATGCTGGAAGGTGAGGCTCTGCCCCAGCAGTGGACTTGGGCCCTGGACTCCCCTGAGGCCGTGTGTTGGGTTGAGCAGGTAGATGGGGATTGCACCCCTGGGTTTTCAGTTGGGGACCCACCCAGGGCACCTGATCCCCCAGTGGGAAAGAGGCCATAAACTACCTGGGAGGAGCATTTCAGGGATTCATTTTGAGAACAGCTGGTAAGAGGAGAAGAGCTAAAATCAGTCCTGGCTCTGGTGTTTTCCAGCTGTGTGACCTTGGGCAAAGTCATTCCTGTCTGCTCCTCGGTTTTCTAAATTTGTAAGTTGTGGGCCAGCTCAGTGGTGCAGGGGTAATAGGCTGCTCACAGAATGCCAGCTGCACATGGATGATCACGGCTCTGTTCCTGGTTGACCTGTACATGCTCGGCCGCCAGCTTGGATTCCTGGCAGGCAGGAAGGCTGGTGTGGGGATTGCAGTATGAGACCCTTGAGGGGGGCTTGTCTCTCTTCCTTTCCCTTTCTGCCTCTCACTCTCATAAAAGAAAGAAACTTGGCGGCTGGTCTTCGTGCCAGTGTTAAGCCCTGTGCATGGGGAGTCGGATCTCACATGCCGACGATCGTGGTTCAAGTCCCAGTTCTAGCTCAGCAGATCGTGTGTGTGCATGCCCCAAACCCTGACAGATGGGCAAATAGAAGAAAAAAAGGAGTGCATGACTACACCCCAGTCAGGGGCGCTGCCTGTCACTCTCCCTCCGTCTCTGGCAAGCATATGTACCCTCTGGCAATTAAAAAAAAAGAAAAACTTGAAAAAAATTTTAATTGGATATGATGATAGTTGTGCTTGTTCTAAATTTTAACTTTCAAATACTTCAAACCTATGGAAAAGCTGTAAAATTGTACAAAGAATTATGCAGGGCATTCATTCCCATGCTGCATTTATATAGATTCCTCCAATATTAATGTTTTACCAGTTGTTTTGCTGTATTATTCTGTGTATATGTAAAATTATTTTCTGAACCATTTTGAGGGTTAAGTTGCGGTTCTCATCTAAATGCCTCAGTGTATATTTTCTTGCAAAGTCGTCTTCTTACATTGTCCAACTCTCCAACTCAGGAAATTAACACTGATGAAGGAGCATTATGAGATCTCATTCAGAGGTTGCCAGTTGTCCCACTAAGGTCCTTTATAGAAAAAGAGGTGGCCTTCAGTGGTCACGTGTCTATCCCTGTCAGTCTTTCCTTCTCAGCCTTCTCCTTTTTTTTTTTTTTTTTTTAAATTTATTTAGTGATAAGCAAGAGAGAGAGAGAAAGGAAAATATAGTGCCCGATAAGCAAGAGAGAGAGAGAAAGGAAAATAAATAGTGAGTTCCCCATCAGGTTTTCAAACCCAGCCTTGGCCAGCCCTGGATCATGGGCACACGTCTGTCCCATATGCTTACAGGGGTCTTAAGTCTCGAACTTGGAACCTCCTATGTTAATCAGCCTCCCACTATGTAGTGCTGCCACTGTGACACTGTCTGGCCCTCTTTCTTGACTCTCTTGATAGTGATTTGAGTCGGGCTTTGATAGAACTGCCTCACAAGTGGTGTGTTCCTTTCATGCATTTGCCAGGAGACCAGGTCTTACCCAGGGTTGTTTTTTTTTTTTTTTTTTGAGAATTTTTTTCTTTTTTTTTTTTTTTTTTTTTGCTATAGGGCGTGTGTGCTTGCCGGAAAGACACAGAGAGACAGAAAGCAAGAAATCACCCTCACAGGGGGGATGGCCACACTGCAATCCCTTTTCCTCCATTCTCTTGGGATCTTGGGCACGCATGCACACGCACCCAGCGTGAGTTTAAGCCACCGGGTCCAGAACTCGAACCACAGTCGACTACATAGGGAGTTCAGCGACATAGTCATTATGCTAACTGCTGGTCCCTTACCCAGGATTTTTAACAAGAGCATTCGTGGGTGGAGTATAAACCTCAACCCTGGGGAGCCAGGTGGCCCCTGGCAGGGTGGGAACTTTCAGGGAGGAGGAGGGAATGGAAGGTGGACCAGGTGGGGGTCACAGATTGCCACTCCCTTAACTTTCCTCTGCAGATCTGGGCTTCAAGGACCTCACACTGCAGCCACGGGGCCCCCTAGAGGCAGCCCCTCCAAAGCCTGGGGCCCCTCAGGAGCCAGATGCAGAGCCCGAGCCCCCACCGGTAAGCCATCTGCATGTGTGTCCCTTCCCCTACCCCCTTGCCCAGCTGCACTCACTGGCCTCTGCTTCCAGGTGGGCTGGCAGTGCCCTGGGTGCACCTTCATCAACAAGCCTACGCGGCCTGGCTGTGAGATGTGCTGCCGAGCGCGGCCTGAAGCCTACCAGGTCCCCGCTTCGTACCAGCCCGACGAGGAGGAGCGAGCACGCCTGGCAGGAGAGGAGGAGGCTCTGCGCCAGTACCAGCAGGTGGGTGCAGAAGGCCTGGGACAGACACCTGCCGCCCGGCCAGGGCAGGCGTAGGCCAGGAAGGGAGACACCTGCACGTTGCTGCTCCTGCCTCGTTACTGCTTTGCCCCGTTCGACTGCAGCCACACTGCTGGGGGTGGCTCTGCACCCCACTGTTACCCACCTGCCCTCGGGGGTCACTCTGTGGCCAAGGCCCACCCCCTGGATGTGATGTGTCTAGGTGCATGTGCCCTGCCTCTGCGTGGGCTGTGACTTCACTGCAGCCTTGCCCCACACACCTGTGTGCACACAAGTGTCCCTGATGGTAACCTGACCAGGCCTCAGCTCTGACCTTGCCCCCCTCCTGTGACTTCACCCTGGTCCTACTGTTCTTACCCCTTCTGTCTCTGGTGTGGCCTATCCCGATTTCTGTGGCCCTGGCCTCTCGCTGCTCCCTGGGGGATGACCCTGCCCTCTGTCTTACCCCTCCCTAATCCACACCCATCATGACACCCACTGATTCCACAGACACCTGCCCGGGAGTGCTCCCCAAGCCCCGCCCACCTTTCCCTTGGAGCCAGGGCTGCCCCTGGCCCACCCCTGCCATGACCCTGCTCTCGAGCCCTTCCCTACCTTACTCTGCTCCCTGGTCTGTCACCTCCCACCCTGATGCTGACCCAGCCGCACCCCACCCCTGCCCTGCCCTGCTTACTCTCAGGGATGCGAACCCTGCAGGATGACTTCCAGCCCGGGCCCTGGTCCCCTTCTCTCCCTATGGCCATGTTCCTTGCCCAACTCCCCACTGCAGCCTCAGCAGACCCAGCAAGCCTGTTCCTGCCCCCACCCTGCTGGCCTTGTGCCTCCCCATGGGGCCACCCCCAGCCGAGCTGTCACCCCTAGGATCCCCGCTTCCACCTCTGCCCCAGCCCTGCCCACCTCCCCTGGTCCTGCCCCTGCTCCCTTCGTGGTCTGACCTGGCCCCTGACCCGCCCCATGGCCCCGCCCCGTGTGCCCAGCGGAAACAGCAGCAGCAGGAGGGGAACTACATGCGGCTTGTCCAGCTGGACCAGAGGAGCCTGGTGCTGAACACCGAGCCTGCCGAGTGCCCCGTGTGCTACTCGGCGCTGGGGCCCGGCGAGGCCGTGGTGCTGCGCGAGTGTCTGCACGCCTTCTGCAGGTGCGGCCCCAGGTCTCCCCCAGGGGCGGCGCTGATCCCCGAGGGCAGGGCGGGGCGGTGCACTCCTAGTTTGTTGGATACCCACAGAATCTCCAAGAGACGCTCTCCCTCCCGATGAGGAATGTGAGGTACAGAGAGGCCAAGCAACTTGCCCAAGGCCACACAGCTCCTAGTAAAAGCCCCAACAGGAAGCCAAGTATTCTGGCTCGGGTGCCCACCCTTACCTACTACCCCCACCTGCAGCCCGCCCTCACCTCATCGTGGGCTGGCAGGCAGTCTACCCTCTGCTGGCCTCCTGTCCCTGGGTATGTGCAGTCACGGCAGACATTTGCAGGGCAGCCTCCCACAAGCCTCCTGGGCGAATGTCCTGTGGGGAGGCAGACACTGGATGACGTACTGTGGTCTGTTGCTCCACAGAGGCCGAGCGGCCGTGGGGACAGCCACTCAGGTCCTGCCAGGGAGGGGGTGAGAAACCCCTCAGGAGGGGACTGG